TTGTTTAGTTAATTATATTATCTTGATCTTGCATAAGATATAAATAATTGAAACAAATCTAGCTCTTAAACGTGCTAAGACAGGAATAGGGGCGAGTAATATGATTTTATAATTATTCGGTACACCAAAATACCATAAAGAAACCTCTCGTTTAGTAACTAACTAAAAACATAATCATGTTAGCCGTGCTGCTTAAAAAGGAAGAAAACAAAGCGTGTCGCCGCATTATTATCAATTTCTAATCAACATAGGGAAGTACAGACTAGGGGGAAAGGGAAATTATGATTAACCTGGCTTAACCTTTCACTTTGATGATCACCTCCAACCTTTTTTAACAGCAGCACTATCATTACCCTCCTTTAGGTGTCTTTTTTGGTTAAAATACCAATAAAGTTCTTCAACTTTGATATTTGTACTTGTTTGGTCCTTAAACTTAAACTTTTCAAAAGTACTAAATTGGTTCTTGGTCTTTAAATTTTGACTCCCTTTTAGTCCTTATATTAATTTTTTTTTTCAGTGACAGAAGTTGACATGGCACGCAAAGAGCACGATAAGTTTGTGATTTGGCTACAACGTCATCACATTTTGTAGACATTGAGAACATTTTTTTTTTCTCTGCATCGAAAAAGCACACGTTTTTTTGCTAAATTTGTTTATTTATTTTTTATGGGAAACTGTTAATTGCATAATTGATGATTTAAATCAAATATAGTGGGACACTCACATTGATTACATCATTACTTATAGATTATACTTTTTAATTGTTAATTATAAGTTATATTTTTATCTGGTCAAATATAAATGAGTTAAGATGTAGTTAGACATAATTCTTATATTTATCATTTATTTAAAACTTTGACTATTCATCTTTTTATAATGAATGGTTAAAATTTATCATAATTTTTTAAAACACTTATCTTTAAAAAAAATAAGATAAACATAGATAAACTTTAACTATTTTGACTGTATTTCATTTAATTCATCAATTAATTAAGAGATTTCACATAAAATTAAATAAATTAAATAAATAAACAAATAATGAGTCCATATGAGAAGTTTGATGCAGATAAAAAAAAATTGTCAATGTTTGCAAAAAGAGATGACGTAGCAGCCAAATCACAAACTTACCGTGCTGTTTGCGTGCCATGCGAGCATTAATCACTTAAAAAAATAATGGAATGACCAAAAGGTGCCAAAATTTAAAATTGGTTAAACTCTTAATTTGGTTTCTAAACCATTGCATAAACCTTTGATTTAGTTTTTGAATTAAAAAATCTCTTATTTAATCCTTAAAATTTTTAAATTTAATCCCAAGTTAGTCCTTTTATTAAAAAATAATTGATATGTTCATTATTTAACAATAAAAAACCATTACCTAACAGTCATATATCATATTAATAACGAAACACTTCAATTTTTTTTTATAGAAAAACCAATTTGGGGCCAAATTTAAAAATTTTAAGGATCAAATTAGAGATTTTTTTAGTTTAAGAACTAGAGTCCATTCAATAGTTGAAGGACCAAATTAGAGGTTTAACCTTTAAAATTCAAAAACTATTTTAATACTTGTGAAAGTTTGAGGACCAAATTAGTACAAATATCAAAATTGAGGGACTTATTTTTTGGAATTTAACCTCTAGTCTAAAGGAATGTGAATTTTTTAAGCCAACTTATATATTGAAAAAAAAAAGGTGTAGGATTGTTTATGATAAGATAAAAATACTAATAAGGGGACTTTATTAAGAATATTTAAATAATAAGTTTTTTATGTTAAAAGTGTAATTCATGCATCTTTTATATATTAATAAACATTAAAATAAAATTTGATATTTATTTAATTAAGGTCAAAATCTTAATTTGGTCTCTCAACTATTGTATGAATCTCGATTTGGTCCATAAACTAAAAAAATCGTTGATTTAGTCCATTCTATATATTGATTTGATCCCAACTTAGTTTTTTCGTACAAAAATAGATGATATGTCTCATTATTAATGTGATAAATGGCTATTAAGTAACGGTTTTTTACCCTTAAATAATAGATACATCAACTATTTTTTAATGAAATGACCAACTTGAGGCCAAATTGATAAATAATAAGGACCAAATCAAGGATTTCTTTAGTTTAAAGGTCAAATCCAAGGTCTATACAATAATTGGGGGATCAAATTGGAGATTTAACCTTCAATTAACTATCTATTTAAGACAATTCATGTGATATATTACTAGTGAAACAAAAGTTAATTTTTTATGTATTTTATTATATAATTTAATATAAAATATATTAATTACACTATTAATATTAAAAAATATTAAATAATTTCACTAACATTTCCACACTTTTTCGTCCAACTTAGACATGAAAAGCCACTTGCAGGTAGTATTATTATTTACCGTACCCAGCTTTTTGATTTGGTGAATACACTATCGCATAGGAGAAGTTAGTACCTAATATTGAAAGATCTTTTTTTTTTTAATAATTTAAATTATGATTTTTTTAATTATAAAAGAAAGGATTTGTTTAATTTGTATTCTAAAAGATATAGATTAAAAATAATATAAATATATTTTTTTATAATTAATTTACATAAAAAATTACAAAAGTTGACCTTTATTTTAGTGTTATTATCATGTAAATAGTTGGTTAAACCTCTTAATTTGGTCCCTGAATTATTATATAGACCTTCAATTTGGTCTCTGAACTAAAAAAAAACCCTAATTTGATTCCTGAACTATTGTATAGACCTCTGATTTGGTCTTTACTGTTTATTAATTTATACCCAAGTTGATCATTCCATACAAAAAAACAGTTACTTAACAGTTACGTGTCATGTTAATAACGAGACATGTCAGCTATTTTTTGCACAGAAAGACCAATTCGAGGCAAATTGGTAAACAGTGAGGATCAAATTAGGGATTTGTACAATAGTTCACTGACCAAATCAAAGATTTTTTTAGTTTATGGACCAATCGGGGGTCTCTACAATAGTTAAGGGATTAAATTAGGGATTTAACTTAAATAGTTTTAATTAGTTAATTGATTAAATTTAAATTAATTTTTATTATTTTTATGTAAATTAATTATAAAATAATATATTTATTATACTTTTAACATATATTAAAGATATAAAAAAAAGAAAATTCACAAAAAAAGTTATGTATGCTAATTTCTTAATAAAATATGTAAAATTAAATAGATAAAAGTATTTTTTATGTTTTATTTAATAAAATTTTTATTTTACTGATAAAAAAAATAAAGTATGTAAAATACAATACTTGGTAAAAGAAAAAATTTTCGCCAGCCAGATCTCCACTGTCACCCTCTTGTTTTGTTTGTGTGTAGGGGCCAGATGATGTGCAGGGGGAATACGCAGGCTCAAGCTGTCCCAGTGTCCCGTACTACAATTTCAGTGCTGCTCAAACAAAAGTTGTCATCTACTACTCATAAACGACCACGTTTCCTATGCTTACGTTTGCATCTGTTTTGAGATTTCTGTGCGGTGGTATGTCTAACACAGTTGTTCTCCCTCCCGTATAGGTAAACGAGAAATTATTGTGCGGCATAGATTGTATAGACAGTGACCATTAAATTAAGGATACGCACCTTAATATTAAAGTTTTGAGAATTATTTTATATTTAATTATTATTATTATTATTTTTTAACAAAATGTCATGAGTGGAATTCGAATTTCGAATCCATCAGAGGAGAGGAATTGCACATTCAAAGTGATTCGAAAACCACTTGATCCAAACGTCCAAGTGCTTATATTTAATTATTTTTATTTTATAATATGCTATAATTAAAATTATTGGACATAAGGCACTTGACCCTTCGGACAAAGTGAGTTTTGAGTCGTTTTGAAGGTACAATCTTCCCTCTCTTTGATGGGTTCAAAGTTTGAATCTCACCCATGACACTTTGTTTAAAAAAAAAAATTATAAGACATGAGAATGTAAATTTAATTGGCTCTATTATTGAATTAAAATGGTCTATAAATTAACTCCCTCGTTTGTTATTTAAAATTGGCGATAAATATGTATTATATTTTAAGTTTATCCTTGCTTTTCTACTACAAAAATTATTTGTGTTATATTATATAGGCATTTAAACATATCTAACCAAGCTTACAATGTAAATAAACAACTACTTAAGTCTTTGTACTTAGAAGGATGTCTTAACATGCTAGCTTCAATTTTAGGGCAGAAACATTAACCACCCCTTATTCTCTATTAAGAGAAAACTCCATTAAAATATCAAGAAAACTCAAGTAAAGATCCTAATAAAAAAAGAAACAGACTTTATGTAGAGAGAAATCTTCACGAAGACAGAATTTTAACATTTTACTCATTTTGCCCCACCGTCAAGCGGGAGAGAGGTTATGGCAACTAGGAAAAAGAAAAAAAAAACAGAGTAAGACGACCATGGGGGTAGAAGAGAGGCACTAGGGTGATCTTTATTCATCTAATTAATGTTTTATTTATTCAACTTTAATAGATATAATTTTTAATTTAAATTAAAGGTATTCAATTTTAGTTATCTATTTTTACTTTTAAAAATATTATTAATGTATTTATTTTTATTTTATCATTCTTATTTAAAAAATTATAACATATACAAAATAAAAAGTCTTATTTAAGTGATGATTAACTAAGGATAAATATAAAATTTCATCAACAATTATTACACTTCTAATTTATTAGATAAAAATATAGACATACTAAAATTGAAAAAAAAGAAAGAAAGAAAGATGATGTTATATAAAATTATAAATTTATAATTATTTTATTTTATTAATTATTATGTTTTTATTTTATTAGATAAAAATTAAATCCATTGAGATTGAACAGAAATAAGAAAGTAATAACATTTTAAAATAAAAAGTAAATAACTAATTTTCTACCCACACATCGGTTCTCCTATCATATTATAACTCAAGAGAAAAGAAAAAAATTTAGTTCTCATAATAACCAACACCATCCATCGCCCACATGCTCTCAACCACTATCATATCATCATCAGAACCAAACAAAATATATGCCCTTAAATCTCAACCATTGCAAAACCCTAATCCCTCCCCAAGTAAAAGCCTATTTATTATATCCTCTTTTTCTCTAGATATGGACCGAACCAACAATACAAAATCCTTTTTCCTCAAGTCCTGCTCCGCCAATACCGACCTTCACCACCACCAACCGCCGGCTGAGATGGTGGTATCTTACAAAGAGTGCCTCAAGAACCATGCAGCAACTATTGGTGGCCATGCCTTAGACGGCTGTGGAGAGTTCATGCCCACACCCACTGCCACCCCAACCGACCCCACTTCACTCAGATGCGCCGCCTGTGGCTGTCACCGCAACTTCCACCGTCGTGACCCATATGAAGGCCCGACTTACATCCACCACCAACCGCCACCACTATCGCTAAATCCCAGCTCCAGCCCGAGTCCGAGCCCAAGCTCAAGCCCGAACCAGACACCATCTTCACCAGTTCCGTACTCCTACTACTCCTCCGCCCCTCACATGCTTCTCGCCTTGAGCACTGCCTATTCTGGCCGGTCAGACGAAACCCACCACCACCACCACCCCAATTCGACGAAGACGGAGAACGGCGGCGGCGGGAGGAAGAGGTCGAGGACCAAGTTCAGTGAGGAGCAGAAGGAGAAGATGTCTGAGTTTGCTGAGAAGCTGGGGTGGAGGATGCCGAGGAATGAAGAGAAATTGGTGGAGGAGTTCTGCGGTGAAATTGGGATCACAAGGGGAGTTCTCAAGGTGTGGATGCACAACCACAAACAGAATCTGGGAAAGAGAGAAATGGTTACTGAAAATAGCAACAGCTGTCCTGATAATTAATTAAGCATAATTTGAAACCAATACTCACCACAATGAGGGTAGTTTTCACTTTTCAGTTTCTTTGCTTCTTTTAGTTTCTTCAACATTCGCTCTACAGAGAAAAGCAAGTTAGTAGGGTCTTTTTTTCTTTTTTTTTTTTTAGTTGAGTAATTGCTAATCATTGTTGAAGGAGAATACCAAGAAATTAAACTAGGAATATGAATTAGAAGTTAAATTAAAAAGAAAATTGTTTTCTATTTTTTTGGGTTTATTGAAGGCTTAACTTCACATTGCAGAGATTTGAAACTCTATTGATCTTACATCAGAATTCAAATCTCTCATCTTGTTATCGATTCAAAAATTTTAAATTAATGAGTATTAATCCCACCCAATTCTTGTTTGTTTTATAAAGAAATTGTTTCTCAAGATTGCTTACCACCACTTTTTATTTTCTTAAAGCCAGCAAACATTTCCATGAAAACGGAAACAAAAATAGGAGCTTAGCAATTTTGGGTGTGAGATTTGTCTGCTTCTTAAGCATCGATAATGCTCTGTTTTGTCTTCTACCTATTTATTTATGGAAGTTGCTAATTTTGCATCAATATGCATCCCTCTCCTATTTTGGGCAAGTAATATATGGTTATTCTTTTTATTCCAATAATAATTTGGGTTTTGCAGCATATTATATTACAACACCTGTAACTGTTTTTACTTCGTTTTTTAGTAAATATTATTTTTTATTATTAAAAAAAAATATATATATATATATATATGTTGCACCACCTGTACATCTTTATTTGATTGAATGAGAAATTTCCCCTCGCACTCACTTTCTTCTTCTATTCTCTAAAATTAAATATACTCTGAATTTAAAGTGGTCTAAAGTTAGTAAAACACCGATAAGTGATTTTTTAATAAAAAATAAAAAATCGTGAGTTTCAACATAGAAGGTTAGGGTTAAAGTGGCATTGTCACTTGCTTTACTACTAGGGTTGTTGAATTCACCTTTTCCATGGTCTATTCTTCTTCTTCTTCTTCTTCTTCTTCTTTTTTCGTTTTTTTCCTAACTTGTGTTTAAAGAATTAGTAACCATTAAGAATTAATTAATTATTTTTGGTTTGTGAAACTGATGTTTTATTTGAAAGGATGATGAATGTTTAAGCTTAAAGCAGAACCATTTCCATTTTTGTAAGTTATCTATTTTCAAATGATCTTTTAAGGCAAGAAGTGTTCTCTTAATTAAAATGTTGGGCGCCCTTAATTAACACCGCCACTTTCCCCTTTTTTAACTTTGGCTAATCAAAGTGGCTAATAAAAATATTATTTGTGTACATTAAGTCATTAATATATGATTCACCTCCTCTTTTACTCTTAATTTGACACGTTGCACTTTTACTATAATTTTTTTTCGTCTTCCGAAGGATAATGGTATGTGGCAGCTTTCTAAGATGAGGGTTCAATTTCTTTAACTTAATTTAATAGCCCTTGGGTGGCAATCTTTGTCTTGACATTAACATACCAAGTTTATTATTTCTTATTTACTTTTCTTTCCTTTTCCTATGATAAATTTGAATAGTATTTAATAATTGGCCAAATCTCGAGAGAAATTTAAATGGCAATTTGGTTGCTAACTGTATTCTCAGTGTCCATCTATTTCTTTAATATTACATTATAATGTTTAAATTATTAATTTAATATTTTATGAAGTTTGTCTAAACTTCTTTAATTATATTATTTTTAATTAATTTTACATAAATTTTTATATTAAAATTATATTTTTTTATAGATTTTAAGTATAAATATTATATTATATTTTAATTTTATATTTTATTTTAATTAAATCTAATATAAAAATTTATACAAAATTAATTATAAATATTGCATTTAATAAGATTTAACCTATACTCTAAAGATACAAATAAAAAAATTATTATTTTATAATTTAATTATAATTTAGACAATAATTAGTATACATTCTAATTCAACCCACTACATAATATATTTATTAAAAAATTATTTTTTAATATAAAATTAAAAATAAATAAAATTAAAAATATAATTATGTACATAAAATGTAAGAACTGATTAAATTAATTATATTTATATTATATTTATAATAATTAAACTAAAAATATATCAAGAAATATGTTAAACTGAATATTTACATGTCATTTTCTTTACAAATTAGTAGAAGACTTTCCCAATCACCCCACAATTTGAGGATATGTTTTTTACGGTGGTACCTTAGATGACAAAAAGAATTTACTTTTTTATTTTATTAATTAAAATTTAATTCTCTGAAAAAACTTTTTTAAAAAAATTCTTGAAACGAGCAGAAGTTTATGTTAAGACACCTACTGTTAAAAAAATATATATATACTTTGATAATAAATTATTATATCGACAACATTACCAAAAACAAAATCAAACTTGGGGGTCCGATTGCATGGGATTGTCATCTACACTATTTTCTGGCATATCACTACAAAATTGACAATTAATTTGAGGAGTCCGTACATTCAAGCACTGATCAATTTTCGCTTCGGTCCAACCCAGTCTCCTTTCGAAACCAAGTACTGCGCCATGCATAATCCGAATGTCTACATGGGCGACCCTAGCACATGCTCGAAGCAATATGTAATAATCAGCATGGGCAACATAGGTCATGGCACCTTCATCCTTCTTCCGTACATAGTGAAGGTAATCAAATCTCTTGGGCTTGGCCCTTGGCGGGATGTAACAAAATCTATTCTCCTCCATGTCTCTTTTCATTCTTCTTATGGCTCTTTCTTTCAAAGATTCTACTGAAACCTCATCGCCAGCCTCTGAATTTTCAGGTTCATGTGAATGCTGAGAAACATCGTCAACATCCATGCTTCGCTGATGGCTATCACCTCCAACGAAAGTTCGATTATCATTGGATGGGCTCCTATAGTATTCTTGGTCAGAAGCAATGTTTTCTCCAGGGAGACTCTGGGCACATCCTTCATTACGCCTTGATTCCCTATCTTGCCTTCCATTTTCATGTGGTTCAGAATCCTACAACAAACAAATAAGAACAATTACCATTCAGTGCTATTCTTAACTTAAAGCAAAACCTTGTGCAGCAAAAACAAGAAAAAAGACATTTTCTCTGTGAAAGCACCCACAATGTAGGTGTGGGGAGCTACTGCAAACCCCCACGCAGCTTGCACCATAACTATGACAGAAGAGTTCATCAAACGACAAAAGCAATCTCCCTTGCGTAACTTGCGTTGTTACTTTTAAACTAATTAGCATTTTGGGATTAATGATTTTTTCCAGCTAACACTGACGGCAGAAGGGTTGGCACTTCACTCTATTTCTAAGTGATGTATTCAACTGCAAAGCAATGTTTTCCTAATAGAAAGAAATCCCAAAATAAATGTTGGTACTTTAGAAGAGAATCAGGTACACTTAAGAATAGCCTACTATTACCTTTTCATTCTGATAGAACTCCCAGAACTGGTCAATCAAACTTTGCTCTTCCTGGTAAAATTCCAGAGGTGGTTCCAACCCAGCAAATATAACATCCTTACAGAACTGTAGATAAGTAGGCAAGTTTCTAGAATAATCTGTCATCAATGCATCACGTAATGAAAAAAATAAGTTCAAAATTTTGACAGAAAAGGAATGTTTATTGGACATCCAATCCTAGAATGTCAAATCAGGAACAATAGAAGATCAAATATGTAAATGGAAGTTTTGAGTAAAGCTGCATTCAAAATTACCATATGTGTCTTTAATCTCATTGTATCTTGCTTCAAGCTTGCATAAAAGCTCTGCAGCATCTAACTCAGATTTATGGACATGTGAAGACAATTTAACAGAATTAGTACCCAAATCATCCACACTGTAAGGCAAAGTAGAATCCGCTTCCAAATCCTTCACTTTGGGAGAGGAAGTGGGGTCCACTTTTCCTGCATTGTCCAATTTAGTGGGAAATTGCAGAGTTTCCAAACTCCTTTCCCAAATACCAAATCCACTGATGTTATAGAGAATTCTTATTGCTACAATAAGTATTGACATCAGGCAGATTCGTGTAGGAAGTTTCGATTCATGTGTTGATAACCACAAATCAGGAGGCATCACCCACTCATATATATGACGTGCACAAGGCAGAATCTTCTCAACAGGCAGAGATAACTCATTTAGATATCTTAAAGCTATTGCATAGAAATTCACTGGAGGTAAATTCAAGCCTATGGACTGAGCAATTTGAGCTGCTTGCAATTCCAACTTCTGTGCAGAAACAACATGAGAAGGCCTAAACATTTGATTAAGATTTAAAGGGAATGGAGGCAGACCATGCCCAATACGTTTTTCAAGCTCAACAAAAGCATCAAGATATGTAAGCTTCCCTTCAACTGACCACTTTACCATGTCTGTTGGCAAAATCGCTTCCCTCAAAACATGACAACCTAGAAAAGAGACAGCTAGAGAACAAGATAAGGGAACCTTCTTTCTTAAAGACTTGTACCATATAATCAAGGCTCTCTGACCATAGATATTGTGAGGTTCTGAACGGTATTTAGCACGAGGCTGGATATTTTCAGCTTCACCTAAAATGAAGGGAGATACAAATGATCAATGAAAATAATCCACAAGAACAGGAAATGTCTTGTGTGATAGAGAAAAATGAAAAAAAAAAAAGAAAAGAAAAAAAAGAGAAGGAAAATAACTATATATAATTGTCTATTGTCAATAAAAAAAGGAAAGAAAGGTGAATATTATTACCATTACCTGTTGGAATTAAAAAGATACTTTAATATAAACATTAGAAGTATTTTAGCCCAACCATCAAGAAACTAGAATGCTTTGCAAACTTGGAAAAGTAAGTTTTCTGACAACTTGCATCTTGATTTCCTGATTTACCCTCTTTTCCATAAGTACTGAAGACGGTTAATTCTACTTGCTTCACTCAGGAAAGATATGACAACAATGAAATAATATAGAAAAAAGGCTTCATGACAATAAAAACTAGACTGCCTTCAAAAATAATTAAATGGACAATCCTGTGTACAGTTTCTTGCCATCAGAACCGTAAGTTAAAGGAAACAAACAACTCAGTCCTCTCTTAGAAGGACGTCAAAGAAGCAGCAATATAGACTATCTACAAACTACCGCTAATGGTAAGCAGTCTACCAGTAACAATTACTGTCAATTACTCATCTATTAACATAATTTTCTCTAAAGTGTAAATGATGCAAGAGAAAGAATTTGAGATTCAAATACCTGATTTCTGAATCTCAGATTCATGAATAGCATGATCTGCCCATTCATCGTCAAGAATCCCAGTACTAGCCACAAACCTCAACCAAATGGGCCCAACAATCCCACAAATCAAAGGGTTCACATTAAACTTCTCTACTAAAGACTCACACTGAGCCTGTAGCATTATCTGCACCCCCATCACATGCCTGTTCCTCAACTCCTTGTAATAATCCTCATAACTGTACTGACTCATCCCAAAAGATCCAAAATCACTTGGGTTTACAGGCCCCACATCATCAAAAAGGCGCACTTCCTTTGCTCTATTTTGCTGATCGTGATAGTGATCATTAGTTTCTTCAGTCATCTGGGACCAAAACTGTTGAGTTTGAGGGTTGAATTGGGAGATGGGTTGCACTGGGGTAACAGGTTGATGACGTTGACGCTTGTGATTGGCAGAATAGAGAGCCCCAGTTTGGTCACCCTTCACCATAAAGTCCTCATCAGCAACACCGGTATCCATGACATCATCAGCCTGGGAATAACACCTAGCGCAATAGAAGTATCCATCTCCTTCATCTATCATTCCTTCATTTCCACAGTGGTTGCATGTCCATTTGGAGCAATCCTGCTCCATTTGTTAATTGATAGTTGATGTTGAATATCAATAGATTGCAGAGGAAACTATAGGCAGTTTGTTAATGGTCCAACAGTTTGTGCCTATCCATTGTGAATAAGTGCTACCAGCTGAACAATAACTAATGACAAAAATGAAATATCAGCATCTAAATCATATTATAAATTTAAGAAATAGACTTCCAAAATTGAAAGAATAACAAAATAAAAAATGGCTGCAAAGACAGAAGCTAAAAAAGCAACCCTTTATCCTAATTTAGTCATTGTTCAAAATTCAACTCAGGGTTTAGAAGTTAAGGAATGTATTAACAGTGAAAACACAGAGGAGAGAGAGAAATCAGCATCAAATAACAAAGAAATAGACGCAATAGTTCTAGATTACAGAAAACATTCACAATTATTACTGAACTCTTGATCATAATCAGTGTAGTCAGTAGCCGATGGCGGACAGGTAAAAATCCGCTATGATAGCATAGTGGGTGGCGAAGCGGCTGCTACTGACAAAAGAGCAAAAAAAAAAAAAAAAAGGATGAAATACCTGAGGCAAGGCGATGAAGAGTTGGAGTTCTAGTCACTCACTGACATCAGGGGTGGAGTTCTGGTGCTGGGCTTCAGAGAGAGATGAGTGTCACGCCCCAAACGAGGAGCGAAACAACTCTGAAATTTTCCTTTAAATTCAGACCAGAATTCTTTTGTTGAGAAATTCGGATCTCTGATGACTTTGGAAACTGGGCGGAAACGGAGAGGAAGCTATGGAAAACAATCCAAAATGATGAGGGATGAAGGATTAGAGACAACCCAATTAAATTTAGAGATGAAAGGATGAATTGGTAGCTGATTTCTTACCAGAAAAATTGTAGAAGAACGCACCCACACTGCAGACAAGTCACGATTTGAGGAGGAAGCAGCAACAATTCTGAAAATTTCCTTCGTATCTTGGACTGTTAGAGATATTCCTAGGTCCTAAATTCGTTCTTAAGAGAGAAAAGAAAGGAATAAATTTGATCCTCACCTTAATGCGAAGTGAAAGAGGAGATGTGGGAGGGTGGAGATGTGCGGCTTCTCAAGGCTTAGGGCGAAGGTCCGTGGGAGAGCAAAGAAAATGCATAGGAGGGTTTAAGTTCTTGGAATTTTAATCCAACCAAAATTCTACATCCTAATCTTTTAAACCCCTAAGCTTGAAGATCCAGGGAAATAGGTCCTCTAATAAAAATCCCTTCTTATATAGGTTCTATCTTCCTCAATTATTATTATTATTTTTGTTATTATTTTAATATTATTTAAAATTAATCTGTTCCATGTAGGCCTCCTTAATAGTTAGGATGAGTATTGAGTATGGGTATTACTCATTGCTCACAAGTCTTTTATGTATATTAACCTTTTGGTATCCGAAAGCGATATCAGACTTAATCTATTCGAAATAGAGTTGTATCAAATCTTATATGGGGAAACTCTCTTAGTGTCTATTTTTTTATTCATAAAACTCAAATTTAAAATCTTATTGAATATGAACTGAAGTCTTTACACTCAAATCAATAGGTCATTAGTATTAAAAAATAAATGTTAATATAACAAACACAACTATTATCATTGTCCAAGGAAAAAAAAAAAAAAAAAGAAGTCAAAGTACTATTTTAGTTACTAAAAATGTAAATAAAGTTAAACAAAAATAGTTTAGTACAATATAAATTATATCAAATTATACTACATTAATCATTAAATAAGAGTGTGGCTAACATAAAAGATCCTCTTCCTTATCTAATGAATCTTAAATAGCTGGAAATGTAAAACAATATTTTCATAAAGTTAATAGTCCAAATCTAACCTAATAATATATTACAAAAAGACCATAAAACAATTATTTTCTCCCTTTTTTTTTTATTACGCTCACAAAAAATATTGGGTTAAGAGAATTATAGTCCCTCTACTTTCTATTTTCATTCATTGTCCTCCTTATACTTGGAAATCATTCAAAAACCTCCCTTTACTCTTCCAAAACATACCATTCTCCTCCATCTACTTTAAGTTTTCATAATAGTTACATCCCTCAGCTAACACCTAGCCAACACCATTACTAACTATCATTTAATAGATGTTTCTTCACCGTTAAAATCAACCTATTTATTAATTTATAATTTTTTTGGTTGAATTGCAATTAGGGGGCCTCACTATTTTCCATGTCAGCAGCCAGGCATAACTTCAAAGTTGAAAAAAATTGCCTATTGTCTTTGTTTTTTTTATTTTTCGGCTATTGTTGTGTAAATGAAAAAGATGGTTGTGTATAGTTTGAATTGGAGAATTGTTGTTGTATTGAAATTGAATACATAATTAGTTTCTAAATCCATATATTAATATTTAATAATGAATTTTTAAATTTTGAATTGAAATTTAATTAATTAAATAAAATGATTACTTTTAATTTGAGATTTTAATTTTTTTTTAGAAGTCGAGATTGATATTCATATATATATATATATATAGATATATATGAGATTGCAAAAAATTAGAATATTCTAGCAATTAAAATGTCATGGCTTCTTATGAAATTATTTAAATATTTTTAATAAATCAATAAATAAGAAAGACTCATTAAGGTTATTTAAATGATTTCATAAGAAGTCCTAACAGCTTAAATGTTAGGATATTTTGATTTTTACTTTTTTATATATATGAGTAAAAATTCACTTACATATAAATTTTACATATCATATTTATACAAAATTTTAACTATTTATCTCTCAATTTTCAATAGTGAAGATTTATTCATATTTATTAAAAATAATTTTTTTATTTAAAAGATAGTGATAAATTTTCAACAATTGAATGTGGAGAAATGAATGGTTAAGCTTTTGTGTGAATATAATGTATAAGACTTGTGTGGAAGTGAATTTTTTATATATATATACACATACACAAAAGTGTTTTTGATTGTACATTAAAAGTGTAGTTCACCTTATACATTTACTTAAATACCCTTAATAAAATTATTTTTTTATTTTATTAAAGGTATTTAAGTAAACTTAGAAGATAAATTACACTTTTAATATACAATTTACCTTAAAAAACTTGAAAAAAATGTTTTATAAGTCATCCTCCTAAATTTTATTAAAAAATACTTAAAAACTCTTTTTTAATTAATATTTTTAAAAACCAACTATTAAATTAAAAATTCTATTTATATAAATCATACCTACTAATTTTTCAAATTATTCTAATAAGCCCAATCACTTCATTAATTATAAGAAATTTAGTACCATTAAATATATGTTAATAAATATGATTTCTTTTATAATAAGTGTTTTTTTTTTTTTTGGTACATAAATAAAAACTTATAAGTGTTAGAATGATATGAAAATTGATATGCATAATCTACATAAATAAAATTTTTAATTCAACAATCAATTTTTAAAAATGTTAATTAAAAAATAAGTTTTTAAATAAGTCGTCCAAAAAATTTTAAGAAAAGTGACTTGTCCCACTCTATCTTCATATATATATATATATATTTCATAACCATGTTCTAACAAAATAATTTTCATAAACTTTCATTGTGCTATGCATTAAGAAAAAACAAAATGATAGATTTCTAGACTTTTATGCTAGATGGAGATTTAACAAAGGCAGATTGATTTACAAAAACATAATGAATCTATGACATGGAAAATAGTAGGGCCTACTAATTGTTAATAAAAAAAAATCAATAAATGAATGGATTGACTTTAATAGCGAAAAAACATCCGTTAAATGATAGTTAGTAATGGTGTTAGTTGGGTGTTAGCTAAGGGATGTAACTATTGTGAAAACTTAAAGTACAGCGAAGAAAATAGCATGTTTTGGAAGAATTGAGGGAGGTCTTTGAATGTTTTCTACGTATAGGAAGGACAATGAATGAAAGTAGAGAGTAGAGGGACTATAATTGGCTTTAACCCAAAATTATTAGCAAAAATCATCCTTCAACCAAAAAAAAAAAAAAAAAATCGAACAAAAGAAATCTTGCTCCGCTTTCCCAAAAATGCAGTCTCTAGCCCTTTTAGAGTCCGTTTGTAACTGCAGCTAGGATATTTTATATAAGTATATAATATTCTAGATAAATATATGTTTAATAATTTTTTAAATTATTTTTTAAAAAATTATAATAGATCTATAATAGTTATATATATAAATCTTGAAGCTTCATTTTATAATTTTTTGTTTGTACCTTTCATGAACAATATTTAATATTTAATATAATTACAAAATTATCTATTAAAATCAAATTTTGTTTAATTCAATTACATTATAATTTATAATATTTTATTTAAACTTAATCTCTTATTTATTTGAATATTTTATAAAAAATTAAAAATTCATTTTCTCATTATAAGTTGCTCTCATACAAAACTAAAAAGAAAAACCATTATAAGAAACTTAAAAATCTAAATTATTAAGTAATAGTAAATATTATTTATTTTAGTAATTAAACATGATATAATATTTTTTAAATTTTAATTAGGTTAAGCCTCCAATTTGGTCCTTTAACTATTGTATAGACCCTTGATTTGATCCCTAATCTAAAAAAATTTCTGATTTAATCCTTACTGTTTACCAATTTGGCTCAAAGCTGATCCTTCTATTAAAAAATAGCCAACATGTCCTTTACTTAATGGTAAAAAACTGTTACTTAACGGTCATGTATCACGTTAATAATAAAATACATCATTACTTATGATAAAAAATTGTTATTTAACAGTCATATATCACGTTAATAATGAAATATATCATCTGTTTTTGTATAGAAGGACGAATTTGGGGTCAAATTAATAAATAATAAGGACTAAATTAAAAATTCTTTTTAGTTTAGAGATCAAATTGGGGTCCATACAATAGTTGAGAGACCCAATTGGGGATTTAACATTTTACTTAATAATTAATAAAATTTATCATATTTCATTTCGAAATACTTTGAAAAAATAAATAACTAAATATCAAAATAACTTTCAATTATAATTACAACACAATACAATTCAACACAAACACAATTATAAGTTACAGTTATAACTTCTCTTAGCAATTTCAAATATACTCTTAGTAGTTAGTCCATCCAAATTATTCCTCTCCAATTTTATTAATTTTTTTAATGAAGATTCCTTTCTGATTAGTAGCTTAGCTTTTATTATTAGTTAAGACGGTGTGATTGTTGTTCATACAAGAAGTATTAAAGTAGTTAATTTTGAATTTTTTTTAAAAAATTATTTAAAAATATTAATTTATTAATTAATAAATAATAATTATTTTATTAATGATTAATTAAATTAAATTAAATTAAATCAAATCAACACTTTTAAAAATAATATTTTATATTTATTAATAATCTTAACATTTTACTTAGCAATCATAATACTATTGTCGCACTTGCAGCCTTAGTCGTAATGGCAGTGCACCAACGTCCTTGACTTCTTTGTCAAGGATTTAAGCTGTCAATGCAACAATATTATAACTATTTTTCCTTCTCTCAACTTTTCACTGATAAAAAAAAAAAAAATCATAACACTATTGTCATTAAAGATTTCCTACATTGACTTGCTCTCCAATGAGTAGCTCATCTTCCATTATTAGTTAAAGGTTCGTATATTACCTTTCACTTTGTGTGTTCGAGTGTTTTGGTATCTTTATAATGTGAATTGTTAATTTTGTTATGTAATTTAACAATTGTTTCTCTCTCCATATATAATATATCCTTTCACTCATTTTTCTTCTTTAAATTGTTTGGCCTCATCCAAAAAACAGAACCATGCAATCTAGTTAACATGTTTTTCTTCTACTGCTGAAAAAATTTGTAAAATAGATTTGAAAAATTAATATTTAACATTTTTTTATTTTTATTTTAACATATAATGAATTTGGTAAAAATAATATAATTAGGTATTGAATCTGTTCGGCATGTTATATATTATACTTAATATTGTTTTGCATGTAATAGGAAAATCTGTTTTGATTTCCCCTACAATTTGCGTCAAGCTCTGTTATTGCAAACCATATTCGCCAAGATCATTGCTCTTATAAGCCTAATCATAGAGCAAATACAATCTCATCGCCCATCAAATCTAAACCGAGTATTGGCTAAAGGAAGGCAACTGAGAAACGTAGCCCCTAATACCAGAGTAGTCAATACCGTACCGGCATGCGTATCGATTTTGTTACTGAAACGATACGTACCGAATATCAAAATTTTTCGTGTACCGTTTCAGATTTATCGCTATAAATATATATTTTTATAAATTAAATGTCAAAATTTAAAATAATTACAAAAAAAATTAACATAATTAAGAACATTAACTTTTGAGAAAACCTTTTGAGTTGGTATAGTCCTTTCTTTCTTCAATCATTAACTTAAATTCCATTATAACTCAAGCAAAAATCCTTTAGATACTTTAACTTAAAAACATTAAGATGATAATAATGATTAAACAGACAATAAAAAATCATATTCAATTTAGCTAGTTTATTTGGAAGTCGGTTAAAAAATATCAGACACAAATCAATATCTTGTAAAAAAATATCATGGTAGCTCTAGAGCTAGCTGATCAACAGCTGAATCCCTTTCCTCTGCACCACACGTGTTGAGTTATACAAGACCCCT